AAGAATGAAAGGAAAAAACTTTTGTAAATCACAAAATAGTATTTAAGAAGGGAAAAATCAGTTTTAATCACTGCATAGGAAAAGGATTTTCTAGTTGATAACATAATGCCTAAAACAAGAAATGAGAGCTCCATGTGGCATTCTTTTTCATTTATATTCCTTTCAGTAACGAAAAAGAATCTGTTCCCCTAATGAAATTCTATTTCATTAGAATTTTTGAAGCACCTGTCACCTATCATCATCAGTTTGTACGTATTTCAAGTTTTTCCGATGAGCAAATGGAATAATGCAGGGTCCATATGTCCACATGTCTGGGAGGAAAGATTCCACGTGGTTTTTGGATTACCTGTCTGGACTCTTCCTCCCATTTATTGCTTGGAATATGTCACCTTCTGTCAATCTAAATTACTCCTCTAGGAAACGGCTGTTCTCAGCTCACAGTATGACAATTGCTGTCTTGTGAAAATATCCCAGAAGCCTCTGTAGTTGATGGATCTACCTCAACAGTGTCACTCTGACGTGGAAAACTGACTTCAGTATACAGGCTTACTTAAGATTTACTTGAGTTCTCTGAGCAAAGAGTTTCTTTAGATACGTAAGAAGAGAAGCTGGTGGTTTTAGGAGATCTCTTGCCTTATCTTGACATACAGGAATAAATCTTTTCAAAACATAGTCAGCTGAGAGACAGTATATACATCTTGGACTTCTAGCCCCTGTAAAAGAATAACAATTGAAGTACCTGCATTACCTGATCAGTGACACTTGTAAAAGATCAGAGAAGCTTTCAAAGTCCAACAGCAGAGATTTTGATTTTGCTAGAAAAGGGCCCGAAGGAATAATGCTTATTTATCCATTTAGTCAGCCCTTTCGTTCGTATCGACTATTCATTACTGTGATGAAGACAGACTTGGCTGAATCTAACAGAAATTCTTTTGTTATCATTAAACAGCTGTAGATTTTTAATATAATAAAGATAAAACTGCTCTTATAGTTCCACATTCACACTATGATATTCAAGTTTGTGCCATCACTTCCATTTTCAGAGCTTTATAATTCCACCATAATCATTTGTTCTTGGCAGAAATGTGTTATACAAGCACTCAGCTGAGGATAATATTTTTGAACATTTTTTCAATGTTCTTTCTGGTTATGTGATTATGGGAATTTGGAACTCAATATTAATTTGCTCTTCAGTTTTGTGTTTGTATATCTCAAAATGCTCTTTTTTAAATAACACAATTTAACTTGAATCATTACTTAGATTTGGGTGATATTCATAGCAAGATAATGCAGTCAGATACAAGAAGAATGTATTGAGAGAAAATGAGCCACGTTTTTCATTCTCATCACTGCCATTTCCTTTGTGACTCCATGCCACCTGCCTTGTTTGTTTAATAGTTTATATAATTCTTCAGGTACAAAGTGAGCTGCTGACCTAATTGGTTTTTTTCATTCATAAACTGATGTGTTTTATTGACCAATATACACTCCAAGTCTTGACTAAAATTTGACATCTAAGAAAATCAATATTTTAGCTATATTTTCATACTTGAAATTTTCCCTCAGCCTAATTTTTTTAAATTTCTACTTTTTTTTTTTTTTTTTTGAGATGGAGTCTCGCTCTGTTGCCCAGGCTGAAGTGCAGTGGCGTGATCTCAGCTCACTGCAAGCTCTGCCTCCCGGGTTCAAGTGATTTTCCTGCGTCAGCCTCCCAAGTAGCTGCGATTACAGGCACACGCTACCATGCCTGGCTAGTTTTTTTTTAATTTTTGGTAGAGACAGGTTTCAACATGCTGGCCAGGCTGGTCTCGAACTGCTGACCTTGTGATCTGCCTGCCTCGGCCTCTCAAAGTGCTGGGATTACAGGTGAGAGCCACCATGCCTGGCCAATTTCTACTTCATTTATTTCAGTATCCAGTGTACTACTATAGTTACATATGAGTGAGAGAGATCTAGTCTGCACCCATCACTTCACACAGGTGGGAAAACGGGCAGGGGAAAGGCGGGCCCCACACTGTCTCCAGGCAGGAGGCAAGTACTCGTTGACTGACCGTGGGCCATCACGTTTGAGACCTGGCATAGGTTTATCTAATCTCTTCATGGAAGACTTGTGAGAGATAATGGGTTAATATTTGTGGAGATCTTTCAACAAAGTGTAATTGATGTTTGAATTTTTATAAACCAAACACAATATCTACCCCCTGAAAGCTTTGTGAGAATATTTAGCACACATGTATGTGCCAGATGGATTGTAATGACAGTTGATAGGCCTCTCCTAACCCTTGCGTTCTGTTGTCAGAAATCTGCATATCAAAACAACTATAATTTTTACAATAAGATTTATTGGTTGAAAGATTTGGGTGCACACTGAAAAATATACTGCCTAGATAAGACTATAAACTAACATTATGGAAGGCTTTAAATTAAAGGTTTATATAAGAAAATTCTTGGCAAGGTGCCATGGCTCATGCCTATAATCCCACATTCACACTATGATATTCAAGTTTGTGCCATCACTTCCATTTGGTTCTCTGATGTATAAAAGCTGAATTTTACATAAATAGCATTAATATAAAAATACAACTTCATATAATTGAAAAAGGTCAATAATCTACTTATTTCTTTATACTAA